TTTTTTTTACCTTAAACCGCATAAACACATTGCATTACACCAAATACACAAAATAATGTTATTTTTTAGCAACGTTGGAGCGAGGAGGTCTCACCCGATTTTTGTGGAGCATTATTCCATTGCCTGCCCTGTTACAGTGCGCGGACTGAGGCGGTGGATCTGAATGAACTTGAACGTGGAGAACTAAATCCAGTTTGAAATGTGGTGCTATATCATCTGTGCACTGGTCTGCTGGAGTTTTACTGTTTGTTCTTCGAAGTGGGATCTGTTTTTCGTTCCCGGTGTGAACTGCTTTTCGAGCATGGTGCTTAAATACTCTTCACTGGATCTACAGAGACTAAATTCATTCTACCGTATTCCAAACGAAATATACAACCGCTGTGACGCACTGGGGATTATACGCCGCCCCAGGTACATCCATCGCGGATCTCGCCGTGATTTCCTTGTGAGGTCTGTGACTCCATCGCAGGATAATGATTATATACCGGTCATTTGGTCGTCATATCGCCGCTCTTCCTTCGGATCAAATGGAAAGAGTCGGAGCATCAATTTTGGAAATATCACTTTGCTCAAACACGTACCTCTCCTATCTCGGCGGTCAGCCTGTACTACTACTGCTAAGATGGCCTTAGTGAATGCTAGGTCAATATCGAATAAATCTTTTATTCTAAATGACTTATTTACATCGCATTCATTAGACTTCTTATTTATTACTGAGACTTGGTTAAAACATGGTGACTTGATGCCTCTTATTGAGATTGCACCTCCAGACTGTGCATTTTTTAGTTCTCCATGGGCCTCTGGACATGGTGGTGGAGTTGCAACAGTTTTTAGAAGCCGTTTTAAATGTAAGACTGTGCCCACTGATACTTTCTCCAGTTTTGAATTCCAGCTATTGAAGGTTGATGTAAAGGGGCCTGTACTATGTGCTTTGGTTTACAGACCCCCTAAATGGAATAAGGATTTTATTTGTCAATTTTCAGATTTTCTATCTGATCTGGTGACTCGTGCTGATAGATTACTAATCATTGGGGATTTTAATATTCATTTTTGTTGTCCTTCGAAACCATTGGTCAAGGAATTTGTAACTCTTTTAGAGTCACTGAATATTGAACAATATGTATGTGGCCCAACTCATAATTTGGGTCATACACTTGACTTGGTGTTGTCCCGTGGCCTTTTGATCTCAAACATGGAGGTTATTGAGGCATATGTGTCTGATCATTATCCAGTTTCGTTTGAATCTGAATGCTTTTCTCCATCACCTACTTTCGCTCAGCATTCACATTGGTCTAGAGCTATTAATTCTAACGCTGCAAATTTGTTTTCTGAACATTATTCTTTACATGTTACCAATGATATCCTTAACGAAACTGATACTGAAAGTTTGATTGAAGGATTTTACAAAGCTTGTTCTACATCTTTGGACACTGTTGCTCCACTTAAGCATAAAAGGGTAAAGGGTGCTAGCCAGCCATGGTTAAATGAAACCACCCGCGCTCTTAGACAAGAGTGTCGGAAAGCAGAGAGAAAGTGGAAAAAAGATAAGCTACATGTTTCCTTTGATATCTTAAAGTTAAGTCTCTCTAATTATCAAATAGCAGTAAAACATGCAAAATCTAGTTATTTCTCTCAGTTAATTGCTGATAATGTGAATAGACCAAAAGCATTGTTTGATATGATTGATTCTCTTTTAAACCCAACTATGAATCTATTATCTAAGGCCTCCTCGGAGCTTTGTGAGGATTTTTTCAATTATTTTACTCAAAAAATTTGATGCTATCAGATCCTCCATTGCTCCTTCTGAATCACTTCATTTGCAGTTGCCTAGTACCACAAGTTGTTTGTCTTCCTTTCAACCTGTTTTATCACATCAGCTAGATGATATTGTAATATCTAATATCTACTATGAAGTGTTCTGGTTCTAAGTTAGATATTATTCCTGCACGTGAGCTTTGTGAGGATTTTTTCAATTATTTTACTCAAAAAATTTGATGCTATCAGATCCTCCATTGCTCCTTCTGAATCACTTCATTTGCAATTGCCTTGTACCACAAGTTGTTTGTCTTCCCTTCAACCTGTTTTATCACATCAGCTAGATGATATTGACTCTACTATGAAGTGTTCTGGTTCTAAGTTAGATATTATTAAGGTCTTTTTAAGGATGTTTTTCCGACTATTAGTCCTATTGTAACAGCTATAGTGAACAGCTCTTTAGCCAAAGGTGTTGTTCCAGCCAGTTTTAAACATGCAGTTGTGAAACCTCTGCTGAAAAAACCTCAGCTTGACCCAGCAATGTTCTGTAACTATCGGCCAATTTCTAAGTCGCCCTTTATCAGCAAGCTTTTGGAGAAAATAGTGTTTTTACAACTTCAGTCTTTTTTGGATTCTTTTAGTGTTTTAGATCTATTGCAAAGTTGAAGCATCTTCTTTCAAGGAAGGATATGGAAGTTGTGATTCATGCACTTGTTACATCTCGATTGGATTATTGTAACTCTCTTTATTCTGGTCTTCCTCAATCTTCAGTGTCACGATTGCAAGCTGTTCAAAATGCTGCGGCAAGACTTTTGACTGGGTCAAAAAAGAGGGATCACATTTCTCCTGTCTTATCATCCCTTCATTGGCTTCCCGTTAAATTCAGGGTTGATTTTAAAATTCTTCTGTTTGTTTATAAGGCATTGTCTGGTTGTGCACCAAGTTATATCTCTGAACTTCTTCAGAGTCTTCGAGTCACTTGCTTCTAACTGTACCACGGTGTCGGTACAAATCAAAGGGTGATCGGGCTTTTTCTGTGGTTGGCCCCAAGCTTTGGAATGGTCTCCCCTATCATGTGAGATCTGCTCCTTCTTTGGACATTTTTAAGTCTAGACTTAAATCTTATTTTTACTCTTTAGCCTTTGTATGCGTGTAGTTGTTGTTTCTATTAGTAGATTTGTTTGATCATTGTACAGCACTTTGGATCAATTTACATTGTGTTTAAATATGCTTTATAAATGTTGTTGTTGTTGTTGTTGTTGTCATGTGACCCCTTTAAGGTAGGGTAGGCGATTTCAGAGAGGTTAGCAATAGCAAGCTAGCTTTGAAAGCATAAGATCTCACCCTTCCTGCAAATCACTCTCCAAAGCCACACCTCCTCCAAAACACATGAACGTGCACAGGCAGACCAGTGACAGGATGAGAGACGGCGCTGGTGGAGTATTGAATGATTACTTCATGTCTCATTCAACGGTGAGAAAACATTACAGTACAAAGCGCATAATATTACAATAATAATGCCTTCCATACTCGTTCAGTCTGCAATAGCGTAATGGAATGCGCTGATGGTGTATCATGTCTGTGTGAACAGGGTGCTCAGAGGTATGCAAATACATACGTTGACAGCCTATCGTAGCCCTTGGACCGAGATGATTGGATGAGCATTTTATGGTCTTATGCCTTCTACAGACAATATAAATACATTTAGACCACTTAACTTAGTGATTACTATCAGGATGTGAAGAAACTTTCAACCAGCATAACAAAAAATGTTTTAGAGCTAAAAAACTAAAAAACGAAGTGGGGAATGTTGGACACTCAAGTGTTGCAGTATTCCTTACATAGCGGAATGGGAGGGGCTATCAGACTTTAATGCTGGATGATAAAATAACCTTATAAAATGAATACTCATAAAATGAGTACATCATTTGGGTCACTACACTGTTTTGTAAAATCTTTGTTTGCTTTTTGTTCTCCGCAGTTCCCAGTGCTTCTCCACAGCTGTCCCTGCTGAGTACATCTCCCACTGACATCAGAGTCATGTGGCTACCTCTGTCCTCACAGCTGAGCCGCGGAGCCATCACACGCTACCGCATTGACTACAGAGCGCTGGAGCAGGGTAAGACAGCACGACCTACTGACCCTGTGGTGTTATCCCCGTAAAGCCTGACATATGACATAATATTTTTTTTTTAAATGGAAGAGTTTATTGAACCTTTACAAAAAATTGATATAGGAGAATGTGGAGGTCCTACTTGAGGAGAAAAAAACCATGCGTTTTGTTCATATGCTCAGACTGAGCAAAAAAAGTACAACCTATCAATCAGACGACAAAGGCATGTAGTAGATTGTGTACAACAGGTATTTCAGCAAAGTTTTGATTATGTTGATCATTTGGAGGCCTTTGAGAAATTTGCATATAAAATATGATACAGTAAGATGTCTATGGTTAAGATCTATTTAGGCTGTGTGTGAGGTTCGACCTTGAAACGTTGATAGATGCATGTTGGCTGCTGAATTCGTAGCTTTGTGCATTATCTGTAGTCACAAGTAGGGCAGCAGGCATGTCTGGGGTATTTTAATAATAATAATAATAATACTTTATGAGACCCACTAC